AAGAAATATAGTTAACAATGAACTTAAGATAGGGGAGAACTTCTATCTTATAAGTTTGAGGTAAGTTATTCACCCCAATGTCAATTGAGGTTGGGACGAAGACAGCGCATTCACTACGTAGAGAAAGTGAAAATACATATACCAGGGTATGCATATGTTTTGAATAGATAACTTAAGAATCTCTATGGAATTATGGATTATGGAAAAGACTAATTTTTCGTTTCATTTAAAGACTTTGTAATGTACTTTAAAAGTTATTTAAATAAATTTAAGACACACTTCTTTATGTAGTTCGATATTGTAGACGTATAATATACGATGATATGAAAAGAGTTCTCATAAATAATGGCACCAAATTGGCACAATAATTAAAATTAAAATGGATTACGTAATATCTAAGAGTTGGAATCCTTGAACAATTTTCAGTAATAATTAATTCTTTGATAAAGAATGGTATTGGAATTTCTTAATAAGATTCCCGGCATTCTCGGTATCACAAGATTAAATTGATGAACTGCTCCACTTACCTCACGCTGGCGCCACTGAAAAAAATAGGGGAAAATTTAATAAAAATGCCTGCATATGTTAATGTGGAATGTATTGGGTATAACTATATCTATACGTATACTTCGTCGATACGCACTTTTTTTTAAGAAACAAAAGAATTTCGACTTTATATTTTACGGTATTTAAACCGATTATCATATTGGGAGAAGTTACAATAAGTCGTGCGCCAAATTATATTTGTTTGTAAATATTGAATATGCGGAGTTATTTAATAGAACTGACCGTTTATTTTGGCCTTAGAGGTTTACACCTTCTGCGGATGTTGTATATGTATGTTCTGTATATGTTAGCACTAGGTAGCCCTAGCAAATGTATCTTACGTAATGAATGCGACAATAGAAATAATAAAAGAATAATAACGAATAAGCCTTGACTTGAATGAAAATAACAATGCAAATGAATTAACAATGGACTAGGTTCTGTTGGCGCTTGGAGTAACTGAAAAAACAAAACGCTTCATAGAGGATCTTTAAAAAAGCTTTTCCTCTTTTGCCCGATTAACAGGAGGGTAGATTTTCTATGTATGATTATTACGAACCTTTTCCAACGTCGGTGTAATGTTTAATACTGCTTGTGATTGTTGTTATTCCAGAATTAAGTCGACTATAGTTCAAACATTTCAAATTTTATAACATTTTTTCACATTAAATATCACATTTGAAAGTACATAACGCACAAAGTATATAATGTACGACAATTACTATTTGATATATTCACAGAAATAAAATGGAAATAAGAAGGTAGTAAATATTGTCAAAGAGTAAAGCTTGCTTATTACTATGTATTGCGAGTACTTCTAGAGGAACCTAATTGTGCTGCCATCTATTGGCGGGCATAGAGTATATACATAATATGTGTTGGTTAGTATTGTTTTTTTTTTATTTACTCTGTAAACATAAATTATTATTATATATTTTTTAAAATATTTTATTTATATTTAGATAGTCTTTTTATCTCTAAAGCAAACAGTAAATTAAATGTAAATGTAATTTTACAAAAAAATTTATAAAATCAAAATAATGTATCAATGTATTTTTAAATACCGATATTTAAAATATAACCTCAAATTTTCCGATATTAATGGTTTTTCTTTTATAACGTTATTAAAAAAAATTGAAATAATAAAGTATGCAAAAATGTAACATCTTTTTTATTGTAATTTCTTTAAATATTTTTCTACGAAATAAATAGTAAGTATTTTTTTCTTTTTTTTTACCTAAATATTAATAGTCTGTGTAAACAAGGAAATAAAACTAGAGAAAAATGATACCGGCAAGAAAATTTTGGGGAGGTGTTGAAATGACTCTCATGGGAATTCTTAGTCGGGAATTCGGTTGTTTTGTTTCGGTTTTATTGCGCAGTCACATTTATGTGAATACCTTTAATATTTTGTGCGTGTGTATACTTTATTGTTTTATTATATTATTTATACCGTAACTTTAGTGGTTTAATAATTAAAATGAACTATTTGACAAATGAAACGTTAATTTATTTGTGTGTGTTGTGTGTATTAAACTTCTGGATGCCGAGGAAGATTTCTTCGTGTCGGTAAGTAGGTAATATTAAGTATTTCCTTCTTGTATGTGTTTTACTTATAACAATTACGTGGTTGAAATAGTTTGTAATAATATGAAGTAGATTGAAGGTATTTTAAATAACCTCAAACTATTATGCGACTAAATTTGAGAGTCACTGAAAAACTGGCGACGTACATTTATGACTCAATAAATTTAGTACAGCATGGTGTACAATTTATATTGGAGCGTTGTACTTTTATTACTAAAGCTATGGCAGCTGCAAAGTTTATTGATGCAATTGTTAGTGATACATTGAAGCAATTTTATAACTGGACATTGTTAACACTTTTACTGCGTTATTCAACACGTATTCATGTTTCTCGTTCATCAATCACGTTTCCGATATATTCAACCAATTAGGGTAACGCGAGAAAGACTTATTTGCTCTACGTAAGCGTATTTTTTAAATAACGGAAAACCTTGATATAGACTTGGTTGATATTGATGAGGCTTTTCTTAATAAAAAGTGGCTAAGTAAAAGTCAAAAGATAAACGTATTATTAATATAGCTACATAACACTGTGTTATAATGGAAATTTAACAAAAGAATGATATGTTTTTAATTTGTTAATCGTTTGATTTGCGTACGTATTTACTTAGAGCGTGAGATAATAAGGAGAGGCGTTGATTATAAGAAATAAATTTAAGTGTTATGTAAACGTTTTCTGCAAATTATTTGAGCAACGGGTACCTGAATGTTTGAAAGTAAGATGATAAGATGTATTATGATCCTATTCCTGTAAAGTAGTAAAATATAAAGGAGAGTTTCCCTCGCTTTTATTGCTTTATAAGCGTAGGAGCACGAAATATAAAATTTGCTACGAAAACTCACTAAATGGAACCTAACTTTATTAAAAACCATCATAATTACTTATGGCATAATCACGTAACAATGACAAGTTTTATCTTGCAACATATATACTTAATATTCCCGTAGACCTATATAGCCTCGGTGGCGCAGTAGGCAGCGCGTAAGTCTCATAATCTTAAGGTCGTGAGTTCGATCCTCACCCGGGGCATATCTTTTGTAACATATTCTCGGTTATGCGGTTAGCATACATCTTGGTTTCTTCATTGCTCAACAAAATAGGTCGTGCCTGGAATCAAATATGTTTATAGATATCTACGAAGTTTCACGTCTAGTTAACCCCATGCTTTGTGATATTGTTTTTTTAATTAGTTAAATATGCCGCTAAAAATTAAACAACATAGGAATATAAGTCTATAATTACATTTGCTAGTGGTAGGGGATTTTATGATTATTTTAATTATGTCTGTCCCCGTGGATGCGTATTGATAAAGTGCCGAAGTTCAACTTCAGGTGTCGATCATTAATCTTCCCGCCGCCGCGCGCGCCAACAACTTTAAGAATGTTAATTTGAACTTTCGGCTCCGATCTTCATCTCAAGTATGAGCAAAGAATTCTTCATTATTTCATAAAATATCCTATCGGAAATGAACGCTGCTTTACTTTCAATGTTACTTCTAATATCTTGGAATTTATTTTATTTATTTTCTTATAGAAGCAATAAAGTTTAACTATGAATCCGACAATCTTATACAGAACACATTGTCTTGTTTTATAGCAAAAAATTAAGGCAACAGTTTGTTTTCTTGTTCATGTTTCGACAGTGTGGACTCTCACTAATGTTACGAAACATAGAATGTCATCTGGTATGCATTACTTCTATATTACAAAGCTAAAAGATACCACAAACCGTAATACTTGGAACGTAAAACATAACAGGCTTATAAAGCCGCGACGTAATCACAAAGTTCACGACTCCAGTCCCTAAGGGGGTCGTTTCGGCCCCACGCCCCCAAATTTATTTGCACTGAGTAATTGTTTGCATTTTTCTCTTTTATTTGTTCCTTTTTCAAATAACGTACGTTTTTATTTAATCTACAATTAAATTATGTCAACTACCGTCGCCAATAAAATGTGTAATAAGAACCTTATTTCAAATAACGAGCAATTTGAAGATATTTTACAGAAAAATTGCATAGGATTTACCTTTCGTGACTTACAAATTTAGATGTAGACGTAAGTTAAGCAAAAAATTGACATTCCATTAGTGGATAAAGCTATTAATTTCGATGACATTTTGCGAAGTTTTCCGAAGAGTCTCGGTAATAAAATGCATTCGCTTGTAATGGGAGGAGGGAAGTAGGTCAGTGCTGCACCGGAGTAATTTGTCTCCTTAGGAATTCATGCCAGCGCTGTACAAACATTCTTAGCGTTCCCGCCATATTCACAAGGTGAGCAAATGTACTGAGCCATTTAATATTTTATTATTTATACTGTACATTTATTTTATACATATTACATATTGTAGTCGGGGAATTTCAGGACGCATGATACGTGAATGATGGTATAAACAATATTCTTGAGAGAAAAAGGGACGACCCAAATTAATATCAAGAAAATGATTAAAGCAAAGACGAAAGTAGACGTCTGATCATATTACACTTTATTTAATATTACTTCAGTGTTTGATTTTTACTTACAGTAATTAGAATTTAATTTGTAAGTTCATCTGAAACTGCATTAATAAGATCTAGGTAAAGATAAGGTCTGCGAATAGGTGTCATACAGTCCAAAATCATTACTCTAAACTCTTGTTCTAGTCTTGTGGTTAGATACCTACAATGTACGAAATTATAAATCGTTTGTTCAGAGATTCAGAGTGATAATGAATGTGTTAAATATTCATAAACTTGAGACATTATAGATTCAAATGCTGAAAGTAATAACAGGCAGTGCACTGAATCGTAGATTATTGCGACTCGGCTCTCTCGTATAGTATTCACCGCAGTTGTGCACGATGTCCGTTCAAATGACAGCGCTTTATTGTCGCTCCAGTCCGCGTCAGATTTCACACTAAATCTAAACCCCTCTGCTAAATAAACGAAGCACAAATTGTATTCAAATTTACACAAGAGTTTTTGTGTTCGGGTATTTTATGTTCAAATGTTATGTTTGATTTGATATATACAATGCACTTGTGTTACTTTTGCTATTGCGACTTTAATTTATGTGAAGGGTTTTTAGATTCTCATGGATTCTAAAACAAATGACAATTTATTTAAAAAAAGTACATTTAAATATATACTATTTTGTCTAACATAATCTTATATATAAAATTCTCATGTCACAATTTTCGTTCCCATACTCCTCCGAAACGGCTTGACCGATTCTCATGAAATTTTGGTAGCATATTGAGTAGGTATGAGAATTGGCCAACATCTATTTTTAATCCCGCGCGGACGGAGTCGCGGGCGACAGCAAGTACAGTACACATATAAAATATGAATATTTGGGAAACAGTATCTTCTACATAAACAAAAAAGCATCATAAAACTTTATAGCATACTTTGTCAAGTTACACACATCGATACAATTTGGAAACCAACGCATCTGTTCCTGTCGGCTTATTATGCGCGAAAACAAGACTATGCTTTCAAGTAATTCGGCTAACAGGAGGGGTCTTTTGCCTCCCACTGTACTGTTCACACGAGTTTGAACTTGATTGGGCAAAAGTTTTCAGCATCGAAATTTTGTCCTTAATATTGTTGATAAAATCGCTTTGGTTTACATTTACTATATCGACTTCTTTTATAAAATTTCTACAGTAATAGAAATATTTTTATACCTTAAAGGCTTCTGAGGATTGACTCTGAGTACCAGTTTACCATTTTCGATCTTTGGAATAGTTATTTTTTTAACGTTCATTGAATAGTAGACTCTATGTTAATTCACGCGTCTACCACTTTTGATTTATTTGGTAATAAACGCCATGAATCTCTAGACTTCGTGACTAAAGATAATTGCTTTGCGAAGAATCGAATTAATTTCTCCAGTTAGTACTTTATGGTACAGTTTGTGTTATTTATTAGATTGCCATTTTAATAAGTAGAAATTAGACTTTTTTTTTATTTAAGAGTAATGAGTTAAGAGTTCTCTTAAGAAAAAGTTACAATAAGCAGATAACATAGCATTTCTTTCTTCATATTGTTTAGAAAAAAAACATTATTGCTAGAAAAATATTTTTAATATTATTTTTAATTAGAGGTTTATGTTCTTTTTAATTCTTTTATATTTATTATGCAACATACCAGTACTGCATAAAATAAGAGTTTATAAAGACTACTATGTTATCTCAACTACCGTTTTATCTAAAAAGGTTAAATAAGGTCGTATACAAATCTTCATCTTATCTGTGGTATCAATACATTTCGTTCGATATGTTTATCTGTTCTTGTCAAAGGTTCGTGTTATATCTGTGAAGGTAAATAAAACTCTTTGGTGAAAATGTAAATATTTGGAAAACATCCAATGTCACTTTTACTTTCAGCGCCAAGAAATTTTATCAAACAAAATATAACCCTATCTTTTATCATTTTTTACCTTTATAATGGAAACTCCACCAAATATCAGTCAAGGCAATGTTGAATATAAAAGTTCACAAGATCGTATTCGAGAGTTTGTTGGAAAAGTGAAAATTATATTAGTCGATTCACCAAAAGGAATATATCTGCTTAAAAGATGGACCGCAGCCTTTATTGCGCTATCACAAATGTTTATTGGAGTAAATAATGTGATGATATTGTTCTATGCATTGAGTTTTAAATCAAACATATTAACTACGTTGCATATATTTTTATGCATGGTTGGGGTTAGTAATTATATCTAATACAGTAGAACTACGTAAATTTAGTGGTCATGTAGATTACTTTGGACTGAAGACCTCAAAGTGGACTTTAATTACAGAGTTTTGTGCTCAGAATTTTTTTCTTTAGTTTTATCATTACTACACTAGTTTCTTGTGTTGTTCTGTTTGTAAAGCGTGGTTTGATTCTTAGTCTATCGTGCGTAGAGAAGAATGGATTCATCGTGCGTTTGACGTCATCTAGTTTTATCATATACATTATAGGTTTTTTATTTCAAAATAGTAGTTGATAGTCTTGTCTTTACAGTTCCAACTATGTATTCCAATTGCGATGTTAAGTCTAAATAACTACAATGGATCAACACTTACGATGAACAGAGGCGATAGAAAATTTGAACATGTATTTTTGGGAGCATTCGGTATTTTCTGTATTATATTTGGGACTATAACAGTGCTCGCGGATAGAGGCGCAGAAACGACTACACATGCTACGTTTGGTAAACACTTACGTTTGTCGTATTTTATAGTTTTTACATAATATTTGATCTTTTTGTACTGGAATAGACATTGATTGGATACCTCTGATGACACTGGATTGTCAGATATAATAATCAAAATTAGTTTGACTGGCTGTCTTAAACACGAAGAACTATTACTCAAAATTACGCTATGAATATGTATATATTTTTTGGTTTCAGGGCACGCTGCCGCTTTTTTAATTTTGCTGAGCTGTATGACAGGATTGTGTTCTAATGGTCAAGGACTTTTTGTCATCGTTATAAAGTATGTTCATATTCTTACTGGAATATTTGGTTTTATAGCTTCGTCTCTATGTTTTACATCCGGTTTGTACAGACGTTGCATTGAAGATTGGGTTCCTGGTACGAGTGTAATTTCTTTTTTAGTAACATTCTGTTGTGTTTACACTGCTGTTATAAGTTTGGTTTCTTTTAGAAGTTTGTTTAAATATTAGGCTTTTTGTCTATTGATATAAATTATTGGACGATTTCTAATGTGTTTTTGTTTTAAAATCAGCAATGTTTTAGTAACTGTCAGTGTAGGGAATAAATAATGTAAATGTATTTAATTTTAAAGCGCTCGCTGAAATTTGGCATACATATAGAATATAGTATGAAGGTCCCATAGGCTACTAAATGTTTGTTTTCTTATTGCGCGCGGACGGAGTCGCGGTCGCCAGCTAGTTATGAATAAAACTAGGTCAACCTACTGCGATTAAAGCTAAATCATAATTAATTGCAATAATGTTATCAGATTCTAAGACAAGCTTTACAAATACTACTTATCAAGAATACGTGAGAAACCTTATCTATACGTTTGCCGCGGGGATACGAAATATAATGTTGACTACTAGAGATAGCAAAAGAAACTCGTATTACGATTTGCCTTTCAATATGTTGTAATATGAACAGAGAATAGATTTCGATTAGTTTCAGAAACCTTAAGGTTTTAATTTACTAAAAAATTCAAAAGCAAATCGAGTAACTTGCTTTTTTTTTTCTAGTAAATAGCAAGGAGTAGAGTTTTAAATCTTAATCTTCGGGTATTGTTCAAGAATATGTGAGACTGATTCTTCGTTTTTATATCGTGAAGTGTAATTAAAAGTATTGTGACTATGGAGAGGGCTAACCTTTTAGACTCAGAAGTTCGATATGAAGAACAAAGTGTCAGTGAAGTTCAAAGTCACACGACATTACGGTTAACAGTTCGTGGGTGTTTAAACTCAGCGGCTCATATGTTGATTGGTGCTAACGTATTTGTGGCATTATGGTTTTCATTTAAATCAACTCCAATAAGTGCATTTCAGTTACATGTTGGATTATGTGTAGTTGGGGTAAGTGTCATTTATTTTATTGGACAATTATTTAATTTTGATACCAAAATGTACATTTTTAAATTCTATGTTATAGTTTGATTTGGTGTAACCTTAACAAAATATTGTGTAAAACATAGCAGATTCTATACATTTTATAATTTATTGTGTATAGAATATTCTTAAGCAGTGCCAAATAATGTCACACGTTAAATTGACGTTTTTTTTAAATTTTATCGTACGATAAAGTAACGCCATCTAGTTGTAACAAAAACAATCTATGTATTATTAAGTTAAAACGAGATGGCACCACATTCGAAAGTTTGTCTAACTGCCAGTCTTTTATCAATGCTTATCATTGATAGTGTTATCTATTCAATAAATCATTGAGCTTGCGAAAAAATATTTTTCCCGGATGACATAAGCGTTGCTTTATCGTGAGATATTATTTTGGAGATAAGGTCTGATAAAACAATTGGACTCACTTATATCGATTTATTTATTGGCATAAATATAAACAAGTTAGATTTTCGTCTGATGTTGAGATATATCTGAACAAAAACCTTACAAGAATAGGTACAATCAAATAATCTTCCTTTTCAGTACCAATTGCTAATGTCGCATGCTATTCTTTCACTAAACGAAGACAATACGTGGTCGTCTCGATTGCCAGTTCTATACAGAATGCGCCTACATGTAGCTTTACAAATAATTGGATCAGTACTGGCGATAGCTGGCTCTGTAATTATGATGATGGAGAAATCTGTTAACTTTACATCAGTTCATGGAAAACTTGGTATGATTGATTACGGTATAATTTTTAATTTTATTTCTTAATCAGTTTAGTTTCCATAGTTAGTATAAACTAGACGCCCACGACTTCATCCGCGCTTAATTAAAAAATAATTAGTGGTCTTTGTGTTTTTTTAGGCTATGTTCTACATCTATGCCAAATTTCAGCGAGATCTATGCAGTCGTTCTGGAGATACCTTCAAAAAAACATCCATCCATCCATCAAAACATTCGCAATTATAAAATTAGTAAGAAGAAAGATAATGATATTTCACTGAATGTGACATGTTATTCTTACTTTACAAAACGCTATAAATTATACATAGGCAAACCATTTGCCAGAAAGGTTTTGTTTGATTCGTAATTTGTCACTTCCTTTGAATTTTAAATGTTGCTGTCTTCAGATTAGACAATATCATAGCAATTATTGTTAATTTTAACCAACTTTAAAATAATTTACTCTAATATTTAATAAAATAAGTGTTAAATAATATTATATTGAGGATTATTGTTTCAGCATTAGCGGCGTTAATATTTACCAGTGTCAGCCTTATCAATGGAACAATCTCGTTCTTTTCAAACGGACGAAGGAATACAATTAAGATTGCAAAAATGAATCATGTACTTTGTGGAACGGCCGCTTTTGTGATATCATCAGTATGCTTATGTTTTGGTTATTATAAAAATTCATTTAAAAAATGGGCTTCTCATGATGTAGCAATAGTGATGATTTCTATAACATGTCTTTATACTGCAATTGTTGTAATAAGACCCGGGAAAACATTTATAAGAAAGTTTTTAAATGTATTCAAAATTAAGGTTTGTTAATATAGTGTTTTTTAATATTGTTACTATACTCAATCTTAGTTTAAGATGTGATTGATTTTTACTTTTAATATTTTTTATGATGGACAGTTATAACAATGCTATATGTGTATTTAAGTCGATTTTATTTAGTTGGATTTATTAGGTAAACATCACCTTATATAAAATCTATTCCAGAGAATAACAGACTTATATACTATTGGAAAAATGAAAGTAAACATTGAATATAAGTATATAATGTTGATTTTGTGATACATTATTTCTTTTAAAATACTTTTTTTTAAATATGAAAGTAGAGTTACAAAATGTTATAATTTTATTACAATATTAAAACTGATATATGAATTTGAGATTCCTTTTTTTATTGGTAGTTCAAAGTACAATAAAATAATAAGATAAAAAGTATTTTTTTTTATCTATGAGTAATTACTAATGCATTTTAAGAATCCGAAATAAATAGCTTCATTTTTTAACAACTGTAGCTGCTTTTTTGAAGAATGTTACCAATGGGTTTGTTAATATTATAAAACCGAAGATTCCAGTAAATGCTATTAGGGCGTTCGTAAAATCTTCTGACGCCCAACTTCTAAAGAATTGTTTATCAAAACCGTAGCAAAGACTGATACATGCAGCACCAAATGCTACTATTCCAAAACAAATGTGTGTTAGTTTGGAAATAGAACCATTGAAAATACGTCGCCATTCGTAAGCGTATAACGATGTAAGACCATTTAGAAGACAGGCAACTGTGAATACCATTGCTACCAATGCTGAAAAAGAAATACAAAACAAATTAACACGTATAAAGATGATCAGGAATCAACATTATATTTCTAGATTGATCTGAAAACTAAGACAAACGTAACAATAATGTATTTACTTCATAAATAGATAATGAACAAAGTTTAAATTGACAATTAATATGTCGTTTTTCAAGTCAACTTGACTTATATAATCTAGGGAAGTTGCCCAAGAAATATTAGTTAACTATAAGTAGTAATGTCTTACCGAATTGTCCATGATATGTGTTCCAATGTACTGTTTTATCGAGTATCTTAATAAAGGATCCAGCTAAAGCGAGTCCGGATCCCAGAATTTGTAAGATCCAGTGCGCGCGGCGTTTATCCACAAGTCTCATCTTTGAAGACCAGCCGCTGCCGGATAGACTAAGAATAGATTGAGCCATAAGCAGTTGGTACTGAAAAAAATAGAGCACTAAATTAAAAATTTATTAATTTTTGTTTTTGATTTCTTCGTCGCTTAAATTCGGTTTTTGAATTGTTAGTGTCCGGGTTCATCGAATCTTATAACATCTAAACTATAAATTTAAATAAATAGATTACGTACGTAAATAACATGTTATTTACAGTTTTATTGAAGGACACATTTTGGTCACAGGTCAGAACCTGTGACCAAAATGTGTCCTTCAATGTCTTTCTTAATCTGTTAGAAATATATTATAAAAAAATAACTTACCCCAATTACACAGAGCACAATATGTAACGGAGTAGCTCCCAAAGGCAAACCATTCCGTAAAGCAAATAACAAGGAAATCCCGACTACAGTACCAATTAAAATGTTAGCTAACAGATTCAAAGTTGATTGAAAAATATACAAATTATAATTGACTTCTTGTCCCGGTAAGTTTTGACTTTTATTTTCTCTCGTCACCATTTCTGGGTCGGGAGTGAAATTTGTTTCTACAGTATTGGGCGCCATTTCAAATGTTTGAACTATAAATGTTTCCGCTTAACTGTGTAACTGGGAAATATATCATGAATATATAGGTGATACAAAGTAGATAGTATGTGAATGACTTTATCAGTATCGATTGAAGGAATGCGTCGATGATAAATTTTTGTTAGTTCTACATTCATTAAAAAACCGCAAATTTACAATCAGATTAAAATTTATAGACTTTATAATAATACATTAAAGTATTTGATACTTTATCTGTTATAAAATAAGATTGATTATTGATATGCTAATCTCGAGGATTTAAATAGCTTGTATTGACTGGCTTCAGAATTCCGTATCCGTTATTTTTATATTCAATAAAAATATTAGACGTACATTCAAGTGTAGTGAAGAAAGAAATCCTTATGTATGTGTTATGTATCACGACAGATTAAAAAATAAAACTAATTACCTTTTTTTTAATATGTAATAAATATTTTGATATGCTTACAAAGTTATAACTTTTAATTTTATAATTATTTTCTTATGTGTAACAGAGTTAGGCAATACAAATATTAATTTTTACATAATACGATATAGACCTTTTTTATGTTTTACAAACTTAAATAAAATACGAACTTATGAAACTTGTACAAGTACTTTGTTATAAGGAAAATTTAATGTTACAATGCCTGGAAAAGGCAAATTGTGGAAATAAATAAATAAATAAACTTCAAAGTATGTATGTATGTATGCTACGATATTTTAAAGCAATACGTTCTCGAAGTAATTTTTCTACACTGAGATATTTTATCGAAATGCGTCAACTATGCCACATTTTTGGGTGACATGATAAAAATGCGTATTAATGCTATCAAATGTTATCAAACTAAAGCTATAAAATCGAATGTATTGCGATCACGGATTACTTTTTGATGGATAAAGTCCTCTGGAAATTTTCTCTATATATGTTTTACCCGACTGACAAATGTGTAATTATTTTCGCGAGTATGTTGGTAATTTTGTTTCTGTGTATGTAGGTTTGTTTGTATGTAAATTCCGTTGTGGTTTTGATTAGAAAGGTGTCATTTAGTTAGTATTATAATAGTCTCCGGAGTATTATCTAATTAGTAAAAAACGCCTTCGAATTTCACGCTTCATAAGTTTCGACCTTTTTAAATAGACTAGACTTTACACTAAGAAAGTGTTACGTAAACATTACAGTTTATTTGGTTTAAATTTTAGAATTTCTAAAATCTTTGTTTTAAAATGCAGCCAATAGATGGCGTCATTTCATTCATTAGAGTCACAGTCAGTCGGGTTATTTTTTTTTAAACGAGGCTTTTTCACTTATAATGCTATTAAAATTTACAAAATGTGCAGATTTATTTATGCAATTAATAATGATAAAGGTAATTGAGATTCTGTTAATTTTCTGATTATATCAAGTTTAACAAAGTTTTTTAATTTTTTCTTGGCGTTATAGTACAAAAGCAACGTGGAAATGCAATATTACATTTGTAGATACATATTGTTCTTTCAGGTAAAGTAAATGAATATTCGTAAATTAAACAAAATCATCTTAAGTATTTAAAGTTGTGAATTAAAATCTTCTATTATTAAAACGATAAATGTTTAACGTAAAGTTGATTCTACTTATTTTTTATAGCATTCATTGCTTTTGAGTAGAATGTAATACACGGGTTGATTATAACTATGAAAGTAAAGATACCAGTGAAGGCAATCAGTGTATCAGTAAAGGTATGGGTTGCCCATGTCCTGAAGAAGAATTTATCGAATCCATAGCAAAGGCTGATACTCGAAGCGGCGAATGTGACGATCCCGAAACAAATGTGCGTCAGCTTAGAGATAGTGCCGTTGAAGAGTCTACGCCACTCGTACGCGTATAATGAAGTCAAACCATTAATTAAGCTGGCAACGGTGAAAACAATTGCCACCAACGCTGAAAAAGAAATTCATCACATTAATATATTTAACAGATGTATGAAAGCGGATATGCGTAGGAAGTAGTGAAGTAAAATAGTGAATTTAGATATGACGGTTGATAGAGATGTATGGAGGAGTAGTATATACTGTGTCGACTCTTCGTAGGGATAAGGGCAGATTGATAATGCACTGTATGTTATCATATCGTTATCTCTGTTTTTAAACAAAGGATGAGAGGGATGGGCAATATGCTGTTATACAAGATCGTTATTCGCATTGGCAGTGCAAGTAATTTTCCGCAAAGGAAATAACATTTGGTAGACTATTAGTAATTTGATAAATATGTTATCTCTGACACAATAGTGAGTAATTTCAATATTTTCTTAATCATTACAAGTCATCAGAAATGGAAACGATATGAATAGCAGATAACATAAATTTTGTACTGTAATTTTGTCGCCACAGTGACGTCACAAAATAATTATGTCAAGATGAACTTTATAGAATTTCTTTCAATATTTAGCCTTCAACTTTCACTTGTGAATTTGTTATTATTGGTTGATCGTATTACGATTTTTTCTCCTATAATCGATTGTCATTTCTATCAACGTTTATAAGCAAAATAAAACCTTAGCAATTTTGTTTTAATTTGAGTAACTTACCGAATTGTCCGTGGTACGTATTCCAGTGGACGTTTTTATCTACAATCTTGATGAAATTCCCAGCTAAAGCTATTCCTGAGCCCAGTATTTGTAGGATCCAATGTGCTCGACGTTTGTCAACCAGTCTCAGTTTTGTAGACCAGCCGTTCTCAGAATATAGACTAAGAATAGATTCCGCCATAAGTAATTGGTGCTAAAATATAATAGAAAATAAGGATAAAGGAATTCTGATGAAAATTGTATGGATTATGAGGGAAATCCCAATTATCAGTTTCGAATTATAAATAGCGTTATCTTAGTTCTCCGGGTTAAAAGGTTATTTGTTGAATCTCATTTATCTTAGTAAACATATTTAATCAATATTTATTTTGAAAATATTAACGATACAAATGTTTTACAAAACTCGGTTTTTGTCCGGGTAACTAATTTGAGCATATTGTGTCTATAAAAGTTATTATCAGAAGAAAAATTAAAATTGAAAAAAACCGGTGAGTTTAGTTTAAGGTAGAGCAATAATAACTATAACAGTAAGGTAGGATGAGTGGATGGATGTTTGTTAGAAGTTATCTCCGGAACGCACAACGGATCTTAATGAAATTTGGCACAGATGTAGAACATGATCTGAAAGAACACATAAGCCACTTAATAAGTTTTTTTAATCTCTCGCGGACGGAGTCACATGCAACAACTAGTTTATAGTAATACTTAGCTAGTCCTTTAACAAGATGGACTTAGGATTATAGTTTCAGAAGATTGTGTAAATTAATAATTGATATTACGAAATTGTATTCGTTTTAAAGTAAAGGATTAATATAAATAGTACTTACCCCAATAACGCACAGAATAATATGCAGGGGTGTTGCTCCCAAAGGCAAGCCATTCCTCAATGAGAACAACACAGCAACACCCACGACGACACCAATTAATAAATGAGCTATAAGATTTAACGTCGAACTAAAGATGTACAAATTATAATTCATTCCTTCTTGTGGTTTTGTTGCAACTTGACTTTTACTTTGAACACCAATTTCGGGCTCAGGAGAGAAACTGGGTTCCACGACGTTTGGCGGCATTTTACACGTCTACTCTGAAGATTACTGAACAAATGATAATACACGTGTCAAAATTGTATTTATAGTGAACTATTTAAAAGATTATTTGCGATGATTGACTTTATCTTTATAGATAGAAATAAAAAAAAATCGCACAAAATTTAATTAGACCCTACGGTATGCACATCACATAACGTTCACATGATAAGATTATTATTATAAATTAATCAGATTTACATACATTTTATATTAAAAATTAAGTAGTTAATAGTAAGAAGTTGTAATGAAATCTAAATTAAGAAATATTAGATGACTAACACTTACTAAAATAAATTCCAGCTTGATGCCTTTACGCGTTTTTGAGAAAAGGGGTCTTGACAGACAGACGGAAGGACAACAAAGTGATCCTAAAGGGTTCCGTTTTTTCCTATGAGGTATGGAACCCTAAAAAGGCTTTATACGGTGTAAGCCTCGATATATTTTGAACTGCATCAAACTTTAAATCCGTTGTCATTCGTAGACTAATGTCTGGGCAACTTATGTATGTTATTGCAACGTTATATTGCGCCACTAAATTTAAGCCACAACATTCGATGAAGTTTAACCACGTGTTTTGCCAATACACATATAAAAACACATCCCTTTCGTTCTCCTTGAAAGTAATGAGAAATTAACTTGTTTCTTAAGGTTGTTTCGACAATGTAAACTTATGGATTGCTTTAAGGCAATATGGACCCAACGCAAACGGAATTATTTCACATTCATTATGTAATAATAGCTGTCGTCCGCGACTCCGTCCGCGCGAAATTAAAAAAAAACTATTGGTCGCACCGTAATGTTATATGGCCTAAAGCCTTCCTCTATAAATGGACTATCCAACCAAAAAAGACTTTTTCAAATCAGACCTGTAGTTCCTGAGATTAGCGCGTTTAAACAAACAAGCAAACTCTTCCGCTTTAGAATATTAGTATAGATTAAGTTTCGGATAAAATCACAATAAAATATTTCAAAACTTGTGAATGATACATTTTGAGTAGGTATAATAAAGGTGTGTAGTAGGCCGTAACGGAACGCAATTTGCTTACCGTCGGCAAATTTCACCATGTAACCCTAAAATTTAATTGGATCAAATTCCATTAGTACAGGTCGAATGAGATCCCTCAATTGTGCTGACCAAAACACCAGTTTATTATACGACCTGCACGTTAGGATACCTTTCCACACCTTTATTTTTTTTATTTATTAAATAGATTTATATCAAAAACATTATTACCATCATTCAGATTTGTAGGATACCTCGTGGTCGGTTTTTGCGATTTGAATCATTCCTGTATGTCAATCTTTCAGTAGCACAAAATAAAATTGAATAGGCTTTTATTTAAGTACCATTGTTTATCATAGTTTATTACCATGAAAGTTTTTGTAAAAGTACTAAGGTTTTTAATTTATTCGTCGTAGAAAATGATACGGAGTATTGTATTATGTGTATTTTTCTATTTTATGTTGGAATGCTAGTTCAATTATTATAATAGCGGTCTGTTAGGGATGGTAGAATTTAGTCTAAAATTACTTAGATGTTAGTACGAAGAATTCAATAACAGAGAGACGTTTGTTAACGCACCGGGCCCAGCTTTCATTTGGCGTCTCCCCTAGGCACTTAACTTTACATTAAAATTGTCCAAGCGCGAAATTGATCTCTTAGTGAGGGGATCGCTCGGCGAAAATATAAATTGCCACGTGACACTATTGACATTTTATTCAACCAAGTATTTACTTTGCTTAACAATGAACAATTTTATTTTTTTGATTTAAAATAAGTGAAAATAGTTAAGCAATCTAACAACGTTAGCGGCGGCGGTACACCATTTATATGTAGCGAAAAATTATTTAATAAAAAAAAAGTTATTTCCTTGGCCTAACTTATTTCATACTTGAAAGCTTACATTGAAATCTTTAACTTATTTGTGGTAAAAAATATAATTTTTTGATTTTTTTTGCATTATGTCAAATCTATATCAATATCTACCTGTAGGTAGCAAATATAATAAAATTTCACAGGAATACGTTTGTTTTTTTTTTTTAGAAATAAAAGCAATAAACAGGTGAAATTTATAAATTACCAATCAGTCAAATAAATCAGTAATAGATTTATTTGAGAGAGAAATTATTATATTGCTTGTGTCAGCGTCTTCAATAAACCTAAATCCAACGGAAATTGTAGCATACAAATATTACATCAAACGTAGATACACTGATCATATAAAACTAGAAGTGAAGTTATTTATATTGTAGATTATACTCTTATCTATTATACCTTTGGGTATAAGTTAACTTTACATGTAATTAAAAATAAATTAACTCCTTAATACAACTGATGTAATAATTCTATTGTGTCTTTATGGTTGCCAATATTTGATTTGAAAAAGAAAATCACTAGGTATTACAAACCAACTTGGTTAAACATCCGCTGGTTAATAACTTTCTACTAACTTTTAACTAATAGACCAATATGGTCTATATCCATTTTTTATTTTATTTGGGACGTATGTTTTTAAGAACATGATATATAATTGTGTTCAAAATCTTACATTGTTGTAAGCCACTTCCATTTATACTAAGTAACTTGATCGCTACTCAAATCTTGATAGAAATGGGACGTAATCAAGGATTAATTTTCTACTTGGATTATTTTCAATCCACGGGCGTATGTGAGCTTTACCTATGCCTTCAATTTAAAGGGGCTTCACATTTCGGTTGACAATTTATATTTGAGGTATTTTAATAGAAATATTCAGTATTTGCTTATTAATTCAAGTAATTTTACAATGCGTATTTTTTTAATAATTAGAAACACTTTCATTTACTTAATGAATTTGTATTGTATTTGTGAAAGATGCTAGGTAGGTTTTTATTTTAGGTTGAAGTTTGTATTTAAAAGGTTAAAAATGAATTATAAATTTTCATTGTAAAGTTGATCGATACAAAGTAGCACTTTAAATTTTAAACTATAAAGTGTTGTTTTTAAAATAGATAAGACGTATTGTTGGAAAATATTAAATTTATGTTGGCGCTCAGCACACACTTGAATGAAGGCTTCTTTTCATTTTATAGCATGTGTGTGAAGATTTACGGCGGCCTTAAAATAAAATACAATTTCATACCTCACTCTGCGGCCCACATAAGGGGAATTATAAAAATCTACATAAGAAATGTGCTTCAAGATTTCATTTTCAACACTCGTATTTTATTAAAATGACTGTTATTGAGACGATAAAAAATAAAAAAGAAGTATACGTTGTATTGTTTCATATTTACGCGTGAAAGTTTAGGTATTACATTAATTTAAACATATTTGAAATCGTTGTGTAACGCGTAATCCAACGATAAAATATTTAATCTGTTAACATTGATAAATATTTATCGCTGTCTTAGATAATTTTTGGTATTAGCGAAAAATTATCTTTGATTACTATAATTTTATATTCAGATATTCTGTTAGGAATATCGTTATGTATTTGAAAATGTGTTTAGAAGTGTTGGAGTCTTTAGCAATTCTTCTTCGTCTTCTTTTCATCCGAGAAATGGCCACTGCTGGGTACCATGCATCGCCATGATGATAGGTCCTATTAGCAATTCACAATGAGACAGTTCAATATATGTAAGTGTCTTAGCAATAAAGAAAACTAGAAAATTATTTGGATTTTCCCATAGATAACAATTTATAACCATAAAAAAAATTGTACACACTATTCAAACTGTAATAAAATATGGCTTATTTCAATTAATATTTTATTTCTATTTTTATTACAAGGGCCGTAAAAAAATTAATGAAAAAATAAAAAAGGGTACATTCATGTTACATAATAAATAGGTAACTCTCAGAGTGGGAATGTAATAATTAATGCGCTTAGGGTAAGGCCGTAGTGTTCTCAGCATCAATAGTAAAGGCACGATGCTCTGTCGGCGGAAATCCGGAAAGTATTTCCGCGCCGTGGATTATGGAGCAGCCCGTATTAACTTACGAATATGTGCCCTCTCCACTTTGATACAGGGTGAAGCAATTTTCGCGATATTAAATTGTTATATTTAGATTCTATCTGTGAGATTATATTACTAAAATACTGGTAATAAACAAATTGTATATCTTATATATAAAATACTCGTGTCACAATTTTCGTTGCCATAATCCTCCGAAACGGCTTGACCGATTCTCATGAAAATTTGTGAGCATATTAAGTAGGTCTGAGAATCGGCCAACATCTATTTGTAATCCCGCGCAGACGGAGTCGCGGGCGACAGCTAGTCTTATATATAAAATTCTCGTGTCACAATTTTCGTTCCCATACTGCTTCGAAACGGCTTGACCGATTCTCATGAAATTTTCTGAGCATATTGAGTAGGTCTGAGAATCGGCCAACAACTATTTCTAATCCTGCGCGGACAGAGTCGCGGGCGACAACTAGTTTGCTTATAAATATATGTCTTGATTTAATATATAGGTTTATATTTTGTAGTCTGTCACAAAATGTTTTGTGTATGGCGGTTAACGACTCGTTTCTTATGGCTATGTATTAATGTTGTTGATTTTTTTTAAATAAAATTATTGTAGCTTTTCTTCCATCAGCATATATCATACCGGTTTGAACTAGATTTGTATCCCGAAGGAGTTGAGAGGGTGGCTCACTTGCCGATTACTCTACATTATTAAAGCGATAATAGGGTAACACATTACAGCACGTTATGGGCTAATATTAGCAGCGGTATGCAACTGTATAAGATTATATTATATTATATTATATTATATTATATTATATTATATTATATTATATTATATTATATTATATTATATTATATTATATTGTATTATATTATATTACAGAAATATCTGTGTCTATTATCGTCTAAATAATATGTTACTTTTCCATACATCTCTACAATACTCATAGTTTATTTCACTTCTTTCTTACGCATGTCTTTTTTACACAATCCATCCAAACTGTCTTCGGTCTATACTAAATGCTTCTTTTCTTAATATTTTTAGATATTATTAGTTAGAATCCTTTGACGCGAATGCCGCGCTTTCGTTACAAAGACAACTATCAGAATGGTTACTGAGAGGACATAAACGCTAATATTTTAAAAAGGCTAGTGTTGTGCAGGTACACCGGCATAGTGCCGGGTTTTCTTCGTAACAGTATATACAAAGTGAATAGGCGTTATTAAGATACTGTTATCTTTTTCATGGCAAATTTGGTGGGTAGAAGAGCAAAAAGAATTTTAACCATACCAATTGTTGACAATTTAAACTTTAGCATTTTATTGGAACTGCAAGTTACAAAATATATAGTTCCAATAATCATTGTGGCAAAGTTGAGCTATTAAATTAAAGTTTGAGACTAGACTGGTCAACAGTTGGCGGTACTCCGTAACTACAATGCGGCGCTGGTGCGCTGGTCAGATGGAAACTTCAAAATTAATTTCAAAGTTTGATCGAAAAATGTTTTCTCCGTCGCGTCGTCCGTAAGTCGTCGACTTAGAGGATCGCCAATCCAATAAAGTGTGTGCATTTTACATTATAACATTACTTAAAATATTTTATAGTTCGAAATTACTTTTTTTTTAATTTAAAACGAAAAATCTTACTTCTTACTAAAATTATACATGCGGATGTTTGGATGGATGGATTTTTGTTAAAAGGAATCTCTAGAACGGCTGTATGGATCTCGCTAAAATTTGGCATAGATGTAGAACATAGTCTGGAAGAACACATAGGCTAGTTTTTTTTTAATAATGGTCGGACGAAGTCGTGGGCGACAGCTAGTAGTTTTATAAAATATGTTTATTTTTATAATTACGCTAATAAAATAATTCTTGGTATTACGCATTGTTCAAATATTTGCAAATCGTCGTAACTTTAAGAATGATGGTATTAAAATATAATCTTTAAATTGACGTATTTGTGTCAGTCGTTATTAATGTAGGAATTAAAAACCACAAATGATAAAAAGTAATTAAGTTGATAAGGTAACGGTACTTATCTAAAAAAATGCAAAAATACTACAAACGTAAATTTAAAAAATCAAAAATGGACACATTCAAGGTTACATACTGGCTAGGAAATCGTATTGTTATTACGTGTGCGAAATTCATAACTAGTTCATAGAAATTCATAACTAGCTGTCAAGCGCGACTCCGTCTGCGCAAAAACAAAATAAAATTTTAATGTGTTCATGCAGACTGTTTTACATCCATGCCAAATTTCAGCGACATCCTTGCAGCCGTTCTGGTACCTTTCAACTAACATCCATCCTTCCATACATTTCAACATTCGAATGTATAATTAGAGTAATATTAGGTTTCTTTTTAATATGTAGTATGAAAGTAATTCTATCTAAGCCGTACGGGTCTTCATTAACTAAGGAGCTATATTGGCTTTGAACTTTGTTGAGCGCCCACATATTAACTTTACAAGTTTCTTTTAGTTGCACTTTAAACACTTTAGATTCCTATTTTGTAGCAGCTTAATTTAATGAAAATATCTTATAGAAGTTATTTAATTAATAACAACTTTATAAAAAATATAAATATAATTATAATAATATCAATATAATAAATGCGCATGTTAAGATGGATGTGAGGGGGTGGATGGATGGGTGGTCTACACTAATTAAGCTTTTTATATATCCACGCGGACGGAGTCGCGGGCGATAGCTAGTAGTTGTATAATTAAATATCTTCGTTTATTAAAATGTATTGTTATAATATTGCCAGGTTATTTATTAAAAATACAGATTAAATAAAATGATTTCGAATGTATGAATTGCCAAGTTAAAAGCGTCTAGGGAGCCTTGTCGTGTTGATATCGTATGCAAAATAACAATAAATTTTCATGCTTGACACAATTAGTTATCATTCGTATTACACAATCAGATAAATAATGTATTTTCCAGATATTATTATTTAAACAAAATTTAAATGATTTTCAAGACTGTAAAGAGATAAATATGAAAACGTAACTTTCCTTTTCTCATAGAAGTTTCTTAAATAATATTGTTAATTTTATATGTTTGTCGTATATATTAATATTTGATGAACATGTAATTCCCAGAATAAGGTATAATTTTCTTCGTGATAATTTCAATGTTTTGTTGGAAGCTTTGTTTCGTATCTAAAACGCCAGGTGGCGACAAATTCAAACTTTTCAATAGAGGCTTGTTCCTAATTAATTCTTGCTTGTAATTCTCGTGGATTCTATTCACTAAGAATGTTTCACTCGCAACGTACTGCGGCTACTCATTAAAAATTTTAATATGAGCTACATTTTGTCAAGTTTAATTAAAATACTGAATACCAAAAAAACAATTATTATATTTTTTAGTTAGTTTCCTTTGCTTACTATAAAATTCAACTAATAAAGTCTTGTTTGCGTTGAAACTTTAAAGAAATTATTTCAAGTTATTTAATTTAATATTTATTAAAAACTTTTGTAGATTTTCTCATAATTATGTATGTAAATTTAAAAAGTTAGTTCTTATGAATTGTCGTAAATAATTTGCAAATATATGTAAATACCGACCATTAAGTTTGTGTTTGTAAGAACTTTGGTCAACAAGCAAATGTTCAAAGTAATTAAAGACGTCAGAGTTAAATGTTCGATGCCACTGATATTCATGGCTTTTCGTCATTTATTTGTGACGATTGTGACTTTTGTTTGAGGACAATTTGGTGCAATCTTATCTCAATGATTCAACATCTATTTCGTGGAAAATGGTTTTTTGTATTCTTAGATAATGCTACAGCAATAACAAATAATATTTATTATGAAAGTCTAAGTATTATAAAATTAGTAGTGTCCAATTTAAATGTTTGGTTTCTCTCGTGGAATCAATTTCTCGGCCACTTGTTGCCACTTCCCACGCGAACGATCTGCATACATTTGCAGGCTCTTTCATTCCAGTACTTAGCATAAAACAAGGCCCGACACCGAGTCATTATGCAGTCTCGGATTTCGAACTACGGCAGCATAAATTTACGCCATTATCAAAATATCGTGGATGAAGTAAACCGAGCTTGAAACGTATTTAACCAGTTTAGGGGTCATTAACGCGTGCAACGCTTATTGTTCGGCCCCATCACAGTCCACTTCAGCGTTGGAAGGGTTAACCAAATTATGCAATGTGACGTCGGTGTTCGTATAAAGTA